AGGAAAACCAGGAAAGCCAGAGTCCCAGGGTCCCAATGCCTTTGGACACATACACAATTCCGCATTTGTCTACCCAGTGCTTCCATTTACCTATATCACAGGTAAGGAACCAAAACGGATCAAAGGGGATGAACCAAAGGGGATGAACCAAAGAGGATGACGAGGGGCAACATCACCCAAAATCGATAGGAACCAGCACCCTCCGACTACTGCCCAAACGGCAGTAGATAGACATTTCCCAAAAACGACCGTAGTTTTATTTGCGGGATGCCCATAGTCTAACTACTGCTAGCTACTGTTTACAACGGGGGGATGCCATAGCAGGGGTGGTAGCAATCAAGGGGTGGCAGCGTGTCACCCCGTGTCACCCCGTGTCACCTGCGTGTCACTTGCGCGTCACCCCGTGTCGCCCCCGTGTCGCCCGCGTGTCACCCCGTGTCGCCCCCGTGTCGCCCCCGTGTCGCCCCCGTGTCGCCCCCCCCAGAACGACAGTAGATCGCTGTGAACTACTGTCGTTTGAGAGTGTCACCCCGTGTCGCCCCCGTGTCGCCCCCGTGTCGCCCCGTGTCGCCCCCGTGTCACCCCCGTGTCACCCTGTGTCGCCCCCGTGTCACCCCGTGTCGCCTGCGTGTCACCCCCTGTCGCCTGCGTGTCACCCCGTGTCACCGTGTCACCCCGTGGTCTTGTTTTTCACTGTTTGGGGCAACATGAAACGACCGTAGATCGCGGATCTACTGTCGTTTATTTTATTTTCGGAACTACTGCCAAATACCCGGTAGTTCCGAAAATAAAATTTAGACGGTAGTCGGAGGGTGCTGGAAGTGGGACTTATTCAGGGTTTTCGCTCACTTTACCCCCAGAATCAGTGAGCTTGTCACAACATAGGCAAAGCCGTGGAAAAAACAGAACAAGAAAAACAGCTGTTTGTGTACCCCCCCACGAAACATGGAACCTTCAGGAGCCTTCTTTCACCCCTGCCGATTCCGAACTGGAAGTCTTGAGGGTTCCACTGCCCAAACCCAGCCAAGAGTGATGTCTGAAGCACCGTAAAAGGGAAACATATTAGCTTCCACGGAATACAGCGCACATTTGCCTTTTCACACCGGGGATCGGGATCCCACACGATTTCTTGGGGGATGGGGAGCGTTTGCTGCCCGGCATCACGGCCACTTTTGGGGCCCCTTTCAAACCTCTCCAATTGATTCTGGATGGGGACTGCAATGATGTAAAACTTATTCTGAGGCGGGTCCAACAATCCGGCAAATGTTGGAACCTGTCTTGTGGCTGGAAGGTTTTGAGAGGGAAAACCTTGTTCCTTTGCAGCCCTCACAATCGGAATCAAAGCAAAAACAGTGAATCATCATGGGCCTAACAACCACAGGAAGAGCAGCAGCAACAGCAACACGAAACCACAACAACCACAACAACCGGACAGCGGCCACAACCAACACAACCACCACGCACCACAAACAAACTGTTCAAGTCCGCATATGCCTTGTTTATCTCCGGCATGAGCGTTCTTGCTCGCCTCCACTTTGCGCACCTTCATGGGGCACTTTGCCCGCGTCTTTTCCGCGGCAAGCAGTGCTGGGAATACCTAGCCTCCTGGCAGGCCACATGTAGTGAGGTGATTTGAAGATGCACTGGCAATGATTCTTCTGCACCTTCCCTTGGGTCCTCTGCCTAGCGGACCCATCTAAGGCCCTTCAAGCGCAGCTTGACAAACAAAGGCAGCGCAGCACGACGGCGACGCTAACAACGGCGACCACCACTGCCACCACCACCACCGCCGCCGCCACATCAACCAGCGCCTACACCAGCACCGGCACTAACACTATGTGAACAATGGTCATGGCTCGTTGAGAATCCTAAGGTGCTGGTGATCATCCCGACCAACGATGACCATTCCTACCAACCCCATTGGGGCGAACCCGTGTTCCGCACATCGAAACGCCGAAGCCTGGCCAAGCGCATCCGACATTTGGGAAGAAGTGACAGCTGTTCTGCAGAAAACAAGGGGAAATGAAGGAACCCACCAGGCGCCAAAGATCAATGACACACCAATTGGCTAAGATAATTTGATCCCCACAAGTCATTGATCCAAGGGGCCGAGTTGGATGCTCTCCTGCTCCGTGGCATTGCGCGCGTTCTTCGGGTAGCAACTGCTCCTCAGCTCCGCAGAGCCCTTGGCGGACCCCCTTCGCAAAGTGGTCAGAGCCCGGTACTGCACTCCAGCTTGACCTGGAACCTGAAAAAACAGCCTTCGTTTGGAATCTCATATATATATATATATATATACCTGGACCCTCAAAAAGGAACATTTTTTTGCTCATTACGTTATTTTTGCTCATTTTGCCAATTGAGCGCAATTTCCGAAATCTACGCGGAAACTGCAAATTTCATGTTCCGCACCCATTTTGTGGCAAATCCTGCAAATTTGGCCACCAGAAATGCGCGGAAATCGGCGGAAAATGCGCGGAAATCGGCGGAAAATGCGCGGAAATCGGCGGAAAATGCGCGGAAATCGGCGGAAAGCCCAAAACCAACTTGTTTTGAACATGGCTGGTCGAACCGAAATGTGTGTTTTTTGGGTAAATGAGCGTGTTTTCCAACAATGCGCGTTTTTTTTGCTTTTTAAGGAAAATGTTGGGAAATTGTTCTCAAAGAAGATCTAGGTATATATATAACATATTCGACTCCATGTTTGTGGTTCCACGCTTATTTGCACGGCAGTACAGGGATTCTACCCAAACCAATGTTTTCCTTGTTGGCTGGTAGGTGGCACACACACAAACCAAAAGGCAAAAAGGCGGATTTCTGCGCCTACCGTGGACGGGCCAAATCCACTTCGCACCAGTTGAGTGTTTTCCGGTATATGAGTATGACTTCATCCATCCCGATCGGTGCAGGATTTTGTACATCCGAAGGACTTCTGGTTGGGACTACCCGGTGACTCCCCTTTACCCTTCATCGACCTTGATTTTGACTGTGACCCACTGGCATCTGATTTTGGTGAGCAAGCCTCACGCCCAATGGTGATTTGGTGGGATTCGTCCAGGTCAACCCCTCAATACATGAGTGGATTTGTTCACCATTGCTCTGGGCTTACCCAAAAGACCTGGAAAGGAAAGGTTGACTCTTTTCCAACTGTTTCCTGAAACAGAAAGAGGGGCCATCGCGGCCTTCGACCTGTGGATTGCCACAAAAACCCAGGGCGAGTTCATTCAAATGACTCCACAAAAGGAAAACTGGCATTGGCAAACCAAGAGATGACGGATGAAACCCTGATGGCACAAACCGCCTAAAAATCAGCGCGGGTTTCTGCAACCCCAGCCCGCCACTAGAGACTTGGGCAGAGACCCCATAGCTTTCAGTTGCGACTAAATGGCAGACCTCCTGTGGATTTCCAGGGGGGAAATGAGCAATTGCTTTCAAAGGGAAGTGAATTGCTGCTGTGGAATTGACAGAAATGGATCTGGGCTGCTTCCGCTCAGGCCCCCACAACTCCAGTTGCGGAATCTGTAGGTCGTGCCTGGCCGGGTCGCCGAGTCGCCCTTTGTGGGAAACGGCTCGGCCCCAAGCAAAACCTCTGCGAAGCGACTTGGGAAACCCAGCCAACTGTGGGTAGGCAAAATCCTGCACCAGCTGGTCAGTGGTTTAATCTATTCATAAAATTTGATGATCCATTGCAATGGAGAACCTGTTGAGAACCCCGACCCTTCCAAAAGCCTTCTGGCCTTAGTGCAGTCCTTCAGTGCTAGAAAACCGGCATTGTGGATTGACCATGTTTGGTGGGAACCAAAGAGTGTGCCAAAGTGCTGAACACCTCGCAAAAGGGCCTTGAATTTGGATTTCCAAGATTGCACAAATCAAACTAGGTCCTTCAAAAACGGCTTCCTCCTACTGAAGAGCTCACGGGAAACCCTTTCCTGCAGTTGAATTTGAAGTGAACCCCCCCTCCCAAATCAAAAGCGCGTACCACTTTGGCGTCTGGGAAGAAGCGATCCTTGGTTTTGGCTGCAAAGCGCAGATTTCATGGGCCATACCGAGATGATTGTGATCTGCAAGAGGCCAGGCCATACCCATTGACCAAACAAAAGCACATTATCGAGCCAAGCCAGGACGTGCATCAAGGAATTCATCAGATGACGAATAGATGTGGCCATGGGTCAAAGGCCGTACCCCCAGTGAACATCCCAATCCGCACTAAGATAGACTAAAATGGGTGGTGACCTACCCCAAAATGGTACCATTGGTTTTGACCCACAGCCACGTATTGTCGGCTTCCTTTTGGCAGTTAACGGTTTGTAGGTTGCACTTTCGTTTTTTGAAACAAGGAAGCGGCGACCTCCAGTGGACCCAGAAATACATTTTGTTCGCCTTTTGGGGCCATGACTAGAAAGGGACCAACACGGGAGAACGTCAAAAGATCAAAAGGTCGATTCGCTTTGGGCAAGTGGGAGAAAGTTCGGAAAAAGGAGATGCTCTGCTGCGGGTACAGCAAACGTGTCATGTGTTGAGTATGTTTCATGAAACCTTAAAATCAAACACATTTCAAATGAGGAGACCCCAGCCCGTTGGCAGTTGATTTTCAAGGGTCGGTTTTCCCCCCTGCAACAAAGGAACACGGGAAATGCGCCGCTGGAAACTGGGGTGTGTGTTTTTGGGAGGGCGAAGCTTGTCAGGCGCACGTGAAGGAGATCATGGCCGAGCTCTGCGGCAGGTTGCCCAACATGTCCTGCGCATGCTCCCAGCCCACCGAGACCCAGAAAAGTCCAAAACCCCCAGTGGCCGTGGCAAAAAGTCCGCTCCGTTGCTGGCAGTTGATTCTAAAGGGAGCCCAAAAGGAAAGGAGCTGTCAGGAATCGCCCCACTGGGCTCGAGAATTCTTCCGTCAGCTTGGCTTCTAGGCTTTTTTACGGATAGGCTACCCCTCCTCTTTGACCGCGAGTCGTGGGTCCAAAAAAGAAAACTTCTGGACCCCAAGAAAGGCGCAGACCGCGCAATCTCTCCGCAGCGCTCAGGTTCGTTGGATCCGGATCAGGGCCACTGGAGTTTCCTCCAGCGTGCAGCAGTAGCCTTGGCTCAGTTCTTGGCCCATGGCCCCGATCACGTGGGGTTTCCCTTTGGCTATGACCCACAAAAGAAGGGTCGAGAATCACATGTGGTGATTGTGTTCCATATGTTGTGCACCCTGGATATACAATGGATATACAATATGCTTGAAGGATGCCCACCAACCAACGGAAAAAAGGGATTCAAGGGTGTCCCTAGAGGACATGGGCAATTCTGGGTGGGCCGAAGCCTTGCTTCGTGTGGGGAAATTTGTAAAAAGCCCCCTTCTGGACTTCCCCAAACAAATAGTAAACTCGACTACCAGCAGTTTTGTCCGCAGCTCCTCCCAAACACTTTCCCCCAAATCGTGGAAGCCGTTTGGTCTGGTGCAACAAGTTGTGCTTCAAGATTTGAAAACAAAATGCATCTTTCAGGAGCCGTGTCGCAAAAACATGCGGAACGTACGCTGCCCCCCAACTCACGTGGCAAACCTGGAAGAGCAACTTCCTCCAAAAGGTCCCGTTTTGTGTTGCCGAAATGGGCTATCCCTAGACTACGATGTCAATTTGAAGGGGATGGACATGGAATCCAGCTGTGTACCACGACTGGCAGGCCTTCTTCCAACAAATCCACGATTTCAATCAAGGTACAAGGTTCGCCACAATTCACAACCCTGTCTGTTTCTGGGTGGCAAAAGCAAAAGAAGCATCCCAGGATGAATCTAGGCAGATTGCGGCAACTCACAAACCCGAAAGAAGGGTAACCTTCAAGTGACCTTTCTCATAGCTCGATTTACCCCAGCTCGCTGTGCTTTGTGGCCCGAAGGCGGACCGGGGAAAAGGGGAGGGGGTTGCTCATGCTAAAAGTCGGCCCCTTGAACAAACCAAAACTCTGGGATGAAATCCACAAAAATGCGAGGAAACCGCGCGCCGTAATTTCATGGGAGTGTCTGCTTTCTTTGTTTTTGGCGGTACCCATTGCAAGGGGGAGGTTCAACTTGGCCCACAGCTGGGGCACGCAAAGTATTCTGTCTGTCTCTGTTCCATACTTATTCTACCCTATACATAACTATTTTGAAGACCTCAGCAGAAGGGACACCCAAAGGAAAGCCACCATACTTTGAGAACACGCACACACATCCCGGGCAAACACCAGAGCTGGGCCGTCCGGGCCCAAGAGCTCATGCACCTCCACTGTGCCATAGTCTGCCAAAGCTGCGGCCAAATCCTGGCGCACGGCCGGGAAGATCAAAATCGACCGACTAGACCACGGTTGGCCCGAAAGCAGAACATCGCAAGCGAGGTCGGCCCAACGCTGCAGGATGCGTTCTTTTTCCCTACACGAAGCATTCGTGAAGCAAGCGCGAGACAGCACCAGGCAAGGTGCTCTGTGCAAGTTGCTCTGTGCAAGTTGCTCTGCGTAAGTTGCTCTGCGCAAGTTGCTCTGCGCAAGTTGCTCTAGGCAAGGCGCTCTGCGCAAACTGGTCGGTGCAAGTTGGTCTGCGCAAGTTGCTCTGTGCAACTTGCTCTGCGCAAGTTGCTCTGCGCAAGTTGCTTTAAAATGCAAGTTGCATCTTGCGACGCCCGCCCGCGGACCAGGGAGGAATCGAACCCGCGACCCGCCGGTTCCGGGAGCAGGCGCGCGAACCACGAGACAACTCCCGAGGACCAGTTCGAGTCGACCAGTTCGAACAAAAAAAGTCGCCAAAAACCTCGAGTTTTTGCACCTCGACCACGCCGATTCCCGCAGAGGGTTGCGCGAGCACCGCAGAAATTGCAAAAAACCTCGTTTTTGCACCTCGACCACGCCGATCCCCGCAGAGGGTTGCGCGGGCACCGCAGAAATCGCAAAAAAAACCATGGGTTTTTGCACCTCGACCACGCCGATCCCCGCAGAGGGTTGCGCGAGCACCGCAGAAATCGCAAAAAACCTCGAGTTTTTGCACCTCGACCACGCCGATCCCCGCAGAGGGTTGCGGGAGCGCCGCAGAAATCGCAAAAAACCTCGAGTTTTTGCACCTCGACCACGTCGATCCCCGCACAGGGTTGCGCGAGCACCGCAGAAATCGCAAAAAACCTCGAGTTATTGCACCTCGACCACGCCGATCCCCGCAGAACTTTAGAAATCGCAAAAAACCATGGGTTTTTGCACCTCGACCACGCCGATCCCCGCAGAGGGTCGCGCGGGAACTTTAGAAATCGCAAAAAACCATGGGTTTTTGCACCTCGACCACGCCGATCCCCGCAGAGGGTCGATTTTCGTGTAGTGTCGTCGGCACTACCCCGCCGCCCTAAGAAGAGATTTTAACTCCTCGCAAGTCAATTGCACTTGACTCCTTGCACTTGCAACTTGCACTTGACTCCTTGCTTGTTTCAAGGAGTCATTGCAAGGAGTCATTGCAAGGAGTCATTGCAAGGAGTCATTGCAAGGAGTCATTGCAAGGAGTCATTGCAAGGAGTCATTGCAAGGAGTCATTGCAAGGAGTCATTGCAAGGAGTCATTGCAAGGAGTCATTGCAAGGAGTCATTGCAAGGAGTCATGAGAGCCATTGCAAGCTGCAAGGAGCCAAGTGCATGGAGTCAAGTGCAAGTCGCAAGTGCACGGAGTTAAGTGCAAGTTGCAAGTGCAAGGAGCCAAGTGCAAGGAGCCAAGTGCATGGAGTCAAGTGCAAGTTGCAAGTGCGTGGAGTCAAGTGCAAGTTGCAAGTGCATGGAGACAAGTGCAAGTTGCAATTGCAAGGAGTCAAGTGCAAGTTGCAATCCTTGTCATGACTCCTTGCAATGACTCCTTGCAATGACTCCTTGCAATGACTCCTTGCCATGACTCCTTGCACTTGACTCCTTGCAATGACTCCTTGCAATGACTCCTTGCAATGACTCCTTGCAATGACTCCTTGCCATGACTCCTTGCAATGACTCCTTGCACTTGGCTCCTTGCAATGACTCCTTGCAATGACTCCTTGCAATGACTCCTTGCCATGACTCCTTGCCATGACTCCTTGCAATGACTCCTTGCCATGACTCATTGCAATGACTCCTTGCAATGACTCCTTGCAATGACTCCTTGCAATGACTCCTTGCAATGACTCCTTGCAATCACTCCTTGCAATGACTTTCATGATGATGATTCCTTGCAATGACTCCTTGCAATGACTCCTTGCAATGACTTTCATGATGCTGATTCCTTGCAATGACACCTTGTAATGACTCTCATGAGAACAACTCAAGTGAACCCAGCGGAAGAACCCTTCGCCATGCTTTCGGGAAAAACTGGGATTGGTCCCATTGGTGTGTGGTGGGGGGGACATGGGGGTGCTTGCGGGTGAGGAGTTGTCTGATTGGTGTTGGCTTTGTTGCAAGCAAAGCTGGCCCAATGCGTGTACTCGAACATATTTTCAGGTTCTGGCCCATTTTTTAGTCAACCATTCAATCAAAGATATTATTTTCTCAGACCCCAGAAAAGGCATTTCCACCCTGAACCCAGCAAACAGGGTTCCCCGTGTTGCCCCTTTCAACATCACCCCACCTTCACTTTAAAAGGCCCCCAAAACTGGCAAATGTCACCATTCCTGTGATACCAACATGTGTCCTTACGGCTTAGGGTAGAAAACAAATGCCCCTACCCCATTTCCCACAACTATCAAATCTAACGTCTTGCTTTCTCCAGTAGAACCAGAAAACAGAAACTGCCGGTTTCTCCCATTTTAGAAATTGTCTCTAGGTGGAAGCCCTACAACCAGTGCCTTACCCCCCAAACTCCTCCGCGGAGGCACGCTCTGCGGCCAGCGGGCCCCGCCACTGGCGCCGGGGCACGAAGATGAAGCCCACGCCTTTGGGGCACCTCTCAGGTTTTCGGTTGAGGCCATGGCGTGGGGTGGTTTCCTGGAGGCTGCCCCTCTTTAAAGGTTGGGGCATGAAGGGAAACCAACAAACAAACCGGAAATCCAGGTTGGGGGGACTTAAACAACATGAGTTACCCATATTGGGTATCTTGTTTGTTTTGAGACGATCCAACATCCGAGCTGGCTCTTGGCTCGAAACGTACCATGGCTATAGCCGAGATGGTTTGAACTTGGCCCACATCAATATTCCAAAGATCAGATTGTCTCACTCTGCTCCATGCGTAAACTTGCTATCAACAACATGGAGGAGTGTGCCTTGAAATATGCCTCCAAAATGCAGGCTTGCTCAAAATTGTAGGTTGTATTTCATTTTTGGAGGAGACCCCATAGGGCTGTGGAAAATGAGCGCCTTGTGTGTTATTCCACCACGAATACCTCATCACTTCGGGAATTGGACACACTTTAACCCACCACATTGTCCACCGTAGTTTACTTCACGCCGCAACCCCAACACCTTGGAACGGGTCAAACATAGACCTGAAAGGAACGTGAAATGGGTCTGTCTTGTTTTGCGGGGAACTCGCTTGTTGATTGGCTTCAAAGGGCAGCCAAAAGGAAAACAACCATTTTGTAGAAAAACAACACCCAACATCTGTTCGCTGGTGACAATGAAGATGAAGCAAAGCCAAAACGGCAAGGGATCGGCAAAGGGCCGGTTGTTTGCAGAAGAAAGGCTTACTGCTTGGTGCAACCCTTCTAATCATGTGACTTTGAGGGAAAAGTTGCCACTGGGGCGGTGCAGGGACTGTCAGGTATCCCGTGCTTGGTGTATCCCTACTAAGCTCCAAGCTACGAAAGTTTGTAGCCACCAATGGAGCACTGCTAGCCAGAAGAAACATGTGTGGGCTTATAGCTCTAGCTATTCTACCCCCAGTTTACTTGAAGATTTGAATTGCAATACCGACGCGTGTTCTAAGTTGCTTCAGGGGAAGGATACATTGGTTCGGGCTTGAAACGAAAACAAAGCGGCTAACAGACTGCGCGCACATGGCACGCTGCATGGACTCAACACCAGTACGTCTGTCAAGCTTGGATGAGTCCGGACATACTGTGGATGGGCAAATCTGCTTCACACCAGTTGGGATGGATAAATTCCGATTTGTATAATGCTTGATAGATCACATACCAACTGGTGCAGGATGTTGTCCGTCCACAGTACTAGTCAGCCCCCTTTTAGTTGTGAACCAATCATAGGTTCCAGTCTAGTACGGATCAATCCTAACATTAATCAATTGGGCTTGTCTCAAACTCCGCCCTCAAAAATAATGAACGATTCCCTGTCCCTGTAACAAACAAACCCAGGGTTGAGGTGAGAGTAACAAAAACAACCAGGTGAGTAATCAGTTACTCATGGCTCATTTGGACAGGCCCCTAGCGCCGTAAGGAACCAAAGGAAACTGGGTGGGCCCGCCCATGTCCTCCCGAAATCAACATTAGACTACTACCACTAATATTGTCCATTGCTCAGATTCCGTTGCTCAAATACCCGGCACCTGAGCAACGCCAGCCCTCAATTTTGTCGAGAAGCAGGTGCGCGCCGATAGCGGCCGCAAGCGCAGGCACGTCAGCGGAATAGTAGACTACGTCCTCGGCGAATCTCTTGAAGGCCCGGGGTGGTTTGCCACTTGTACTAGAACATGGGCCAAGTATGGGCAAGTCAACCACCAATGTCCACCAACTCAGGAAGTCCTGAAAGCTGCGCTCTCGGGCCGAGAGCGGAAGGAGCCGGGCCGTTGCCACCCGCTGGGGGCATCCAGAGCAGGATTACAACCCAGGGTTGAAGTAGATGGACGATTCCCTTTCTGTCGGCGAGGTTTTATCATCCAGTAAACAGCGAGGTTGTGCCATGCACTTTTACCCAATTGAAATTACTCCAGCCACTGATTTTCAAGCTGCCTGAAGTTCACAAGGCCATTTTCCTCTTGGCTTCCACCGTACTCGTGACCCAGCAGTACACAAATGCCGTGGTGAGTTGAAGGAGGAAGCAACCCGTAACTGGATCCGGAGCACTTACTGAGAGTGCCCCTGCAACATTATCCTGGGTCAACTGTATTTGAGAATGAACAGGAAGACTTTCGGGTCGCCTCACGCGAAAACTAAGGGGCTCCTGTTGCGACCATGTTGGGACAAGTTGCCTCAACTTGTAGGATCCCATACATTGTTCCAAGCTAGTAATTCGTATCACAGACAACCCTGGAAAACATCCCAAGCAAAACAAGCAGTCGGATGAGTCCCCGGTTTTGATCTACAGGCACATAGCAGCATAAGTGAGGCTACAATAACTCACCACCTTAAAAAGAGAACCCCCCGCCAACGAAAGGGCCTTTTAGTATGCGTGGGTTCGTTTTAAACGGTTTTCTTCGTGGCTTTCCTGTGAACCAACTGAAAAGCACACCTCACGGGGGGTCTTCCGAATCTGACAAGTGTCCGCCGCCACCAACCGCCGGAACTGCTCGCGGGGCTCTTTGCCCGCTAAGGAATCGTACCAATCGATGTGCCACACCTGGCCACATCCAATACGGATCTGGAAAATCAAATTAAATTCCTCAACTAGACGCATGCTTGTTTCTTGAGTCTTTCGGGGCGACTCGGCTCCTTGGTTGCACTCACCCAAAAATAAAAAATAAAAATGAAGGAAACTTCGTAGTCGGTGAGCTTTGGGCATCGCTTGACCAGTGCCCTCGCAAGGAAAAATGTGAACAGGAGCTGGTCACAAGGCACTTCGCCCCTCCTGCTGAGCACAGCATTATCCCTCTTTCCTTTTGTGCTCAAAGAATTGCTGCGGGCATTTTTTATGTTGTTGTTGTTTGGTTGATTTGCTTTCTGTTAAAAACATTTGTGTGTGTGTGTGTGCGTGGGTGTGCGTGTGCGTGTGCGTGTGCGCGTGCGCGTGCGCGTGCGCGTGCGGGTGCGTGTGCGTGTGCGTGTGCGTGCGCGCGTGCGCGTGCGCGTGCGCGTGTGCGTGTGCGTGTGCGTGTGCGTGTGCGTGCGTGCGTGCGTGCGTGCGAGCGTGTGGTGCGTGCGTGCGGTGCGTGCGTGCGTGCGTGCGTGCGTGCGTGGGTGGGTGGGTGGGTGTGTGGGTGTGTGGGTGTGTGGGTGTGTGGGTGTGTGGGTGTGTGGGTGTGTGGGCGTGTGGGGGTGTGGGTGTGTGGGTGTGTGGGTGTGTGGGTGTGTGGGTGTGTGGGTGTGTGGGTGTGTGGGTGTGTGGGTGTGTGGGTGTGTGGGTGTGGGTGTGTGGGGGTGTCGGGGTGTGGGGGTGTGGGGGTGTGGGGGTGTGGAGGTGTGGGGGTGTGGGGGTGGGTGTGTGGGGGTGTGGGGGTGTGGGTGTGTGGGTGTGTGTGTGTGTGTGTGTGTGTTTGTTTTCTTTCTGGAAAAAAAAAGGCCCGTTTTTGGTCTTGCGCGGTTGGTTAAACAGGGACCCCCACAAAAACAAGACACGACAACAACGGGTGTCACTGGTATCGCTTCACATACAACAAGGGGCAACATCCTCCGAGACGAAAAAACACCCTTCATGTCCGGAAGGGATGTTGTTCGGGTTGACTGGGGTGGGAGCCATATTGGAGAATGGTAAACACTTCGCAATGGCAACCACTTCTCACGCCCTGGTAGCAGAAATACTTGGGTCCCGTACCCGCAGTCGCAGCACCCCAGTCAAAATGAAAAGCACCCCAAAACCTAAAATACAACCATTTTGCTCATCATTGTTCACGGTATGTCTTCACCGAAATTCCAAAAAGTGCCCATCGAACAATCAGTTCAGAGTTACCCAGACTGATAGGAAAATACTTGGAACCCTTTTGGGTTTAACCATTTCATCAAACCAAACCAACAGAGAAGACAACAAACTAAAAGGGATCCGTGTCCGACATGCCGGCTAGATTGGCCGCTCGGCCTCCGCATTCTTCACACCGTTGCGGTCAACGTTCTCCTTCCTTAGCCCCCGTGCAGTTTGGGCCTGTATGTCCAATTTGCGGGTGCCATCAACACCCAGAGTCGATGTTGCCAGCCCAAGCCCTCAAAGAAACACATGCCCCAAAAGAAGGCGGCCAGGAGGGCGGGAGTTTTTGGAGCTTCGACGTCGCCTCCATTTCGCCCAGGCGCAGGTTTGCCAAGAGCCGCGTGGGCACCAACCTTCGAAAACCAGAGGTTTTGAAACGCTCAAGATGCTGCAGGGGTCCCTCAACGTTTGTCAAAAAGCCAATTGGTAGGGGTAGAAGCAACGTGCCCCCACTCCCGCTCGTTGAGCATTCCCATGCATTACCTCGACCTTTCCGGGCACTGACAACCACCATCGCAAATATGGCAGGCACCAGATGCCGAGGATGACTGCGGGCGGGCCGAGTACCCCAAAACCACAACAGAGCTGCACAACAAACAGGCGACAAGGCGGCTGTGAAAATCAAGTTGGCTACTTCCAATTGCGCAATCTCGGTAGGCTTTCTCAAGGGTGTGCTCTAGCTTTGTTGGAGAGCACAAAAAGACCTCAGGCCTGATTCGTCGCACTCGCCAAACAAACCTTCTCAGTTGCTCAAAGGACCCAGAAATGCAAGGTTAACCTTTTTGGACCATGACTAAAATTGGACTAAACGCGAAAAACCAAAACTTTTAACGGTCGGCTTTGGGCAAGTAGACCTGAACATATGAAGTATTTGTTGGGCAGTCCTCCGAAGTGGTGACTTTGTCTGACCCAGGCACATGTGGGTAAATTCCTTTAGGTTCCTTGCCCGAGCTCCACTTGAAAACGGCTCGCCTTGGAATCCAAAGCCGCTATCGAGACATCAAGTTTCCACATGTCAGGCTTCAGGCACCCCATTATTTTCAAACAAGGCCCGCGGAAAAGCAATGCCTCTCACGAATTATGGGGTGGTTTAAACAAAATACACCGATAATTCACGGGTATTCACTCACTTGAAGCTACCGTACGGTTTTAACTTCACATGCTACACCCAAACGTAAAGGTCAGGGGAATCAGCGCGCATTCAGGAAGTCGACCAAGTATATGGCATTATATGGCCATGGGTCAGAAGCCCGTACCCCCAGTGAACATCCCAATCCCCGCTAAAATTTAGACTAAAATGGGTGGTGCACCTACCATACCTACCCCAAAATGGTACCAAAACGGTTTTGACCCACAGCCATATCAGTGCAACCTGTCCGCCCCAACGCCCGCCGCCCGGCGAATCGAATCGGAGCCCCGGAGCCTCTCCGCGTCGGACGGCTCCACCTCGTTGGCATCGAAGTCGGAGAGCACCACGGAGGCCGCGCGGCTGGCCAGCGAGATGCCGAGGAGACCGACGCCTCCCGCTCTCAAGAAGGCGGCCGCAGGATCACCCCAACCATGAGGGGGAGGGGTCCCCAATTCCATTTGTCTAGTCTTCCCCATAAAAGGGAAAATGGAATAAATGGAATTCTAGGGGACACCCCCGTCCCCCAATTCACTTTTAAATGGGTGGGGATGCCGTAGGTTTCTTGTGGGGGGGGACCGAAAGACCCCTAAAACATGAAACAGGTTTCAAGGAGACACCGGTTAGGTTCCTTTTAGCCAAGGGAGTGATGGGAACGCATGAAAGAAAGCGGAACAAATGCACTCATGCACAGTTGGATCCAGAAAGTCGAGCACATCTGATATTCCCGGATGGACAAAATGATGCACCAGTTGGTATGAATGAAACCCTATATAAACCCTGGGGTCAACACCTATCAGCTGTCCATCCACAGTATGACCGTATGACCCAAATAGGGTTTGATGGCTCCAGGCAAGCCTTCCGTCCAAGTTTGGCTGCAATGACCCTGAGGTGTACGAACATTCGAACGGAATCTGTTTGTCTGCAGACCAGCCATCAACACATTTCTCGAAGGGGAACCCTCTTGGCCAATCTGTCTCAGTGAAACTCGGAAGGGATATTGCCAACCAGCGGCAACCACTAGAAAGGATCCTACCTGGCTAAAAAGTGGACTAGCAAAGGATCAAATGGAACCACTAGAAAAGTGGACTACCTGGCTAAAAAGTGGACTGGCGACCGCTAGAAAGAATCAAATGGACTAGCAAAGGAGACTAGAATCGTACTGGAGAAAAGGCGCTTGGGATTCACAGACCCTAAACCCCATCACACTTGGCCAAGAGCTTAACCTTAACAGTTAAATCATTGAGGGTTGAAAGGGAACATAATGGAAAAAAGGTTAACCATCAGTGGGTTAACACTTAACCCGTTTGCAAAAAGTTAACACGTTAAGCAGGCAAAGGTAAACCGTTGTATAAGCAGGGTAAACAAGGAGTATGTCTGGCAATGTTGGCAGCACTTGCACATAACCCATTTTAAGGACTCTCAACACAAGTCGGGCCGCTTGGGGAACTGGCT